ATTTTGACAACAATTGTCAATCATAATTGCCTGACATTTATGGTAAGACTTAGGTCTGTATGACACAATGTCGTTATGTGTCATGTTAACCTTAAACAGGTGAACTGTATACAGGTAAATGACAGGTATATGTAAATGAACTGTTGAAAGGTATTTGTAATCTACTACGAGACATCGTTGCTCCAAGAAATCTATTTTTCATTCAATTGGAAAATTTAAGATTGTGATATCTCGAGAGAGTTCTTTTAACTACGATGGTGGAGATATTTACGGATCATAAAAATATTGATGAATTATACATGACCAAGCTGTTCATTGTTGCATATACACAACATATATCATATTCAAAGGCTATGGTTTTCACCTGTGAATTTGATAAAGTTTTACAGTAGAAGCTGTGTTACCTGTAGATAAAGTTTACAGTAGAGTCTGTGTTACCTCTAACCCCTCTGTCCTGTGTTACCTGTAGATAATGTTTACAGTAGAGGCTGTGTCTGTGTTACCTCTAACCCCTCTGTCCTGTGTTACCTGTAGATAATGTTTACAGTAGAGGCTGTGTCTGTGTTACCTCTAACCCCTCTGTCCTGTGTTACCTGTAGATAATGTTTACAGTAGAGGCTGTGTCTGTGTTACCTCTAACCCCTCTGTCCTGTGTTACCTGTAGATAATGTTTACAGTAGAGGCTGTGTCTGTGTTACCTCTAACCCCTCTGTCCTGTGTTACCTGTAGATAATGTTTACAGTAGAGGCTGTGTCTGTGTTACCTCTAACCCCTCTGTCCTGTGTTACCTGTAGATAATGTTTACAGTAGAGGCTGTGTCTGTGTTACCTCTAACCCCTCTGTCCTGTGTTACCTGTAGATAATGTTTACAGTAGAGGCTGTGTCTGTGTTACCTCTAACCCCTCTGTCCTGTGTTACCTGTAGATAATGTTTACAGTAGAGGCTGTGTCTGTGTTACCTCTAACCCCTCTGTCCTGTGTTACCTGTAGATAATGTTTACAGTAGAGGCTGTGTCTGTGTTACCTCTAACCCCTCTGTCCTGTGTTACCTGTAGATAATGTTTACAGTAGAGGCTGTGTCTGTGTTACCTCTAACCCCTCTGTCCTGTGTTACCTGTAGATAATGTTTACAGTAGAGGCTGTGTCTGTGTTACCTCTAACCCCTCTGTCCTGTGTTACCTGTAGATAATGTTTACAGTAGAGGCTGTGTCTGTGTTACCTCTAACCCCTCTGTCCTGTGTTACCTGTAGATAATGTTTACAGTAGAGGCTGTGTCTGTGTTACCTCTAACCCCTCTGTCCTGTGTTACCTGTAGATAATGTTTACAGTAGAGGCTGTGTCTGTGTTACCTCTAACCCCCCTACCCTGTGTTACCTGTAGATAATGTTTACAGTAGAGGCTGTGTTACCTCTAACCCCTCTGTCCTGTGTTACCTGTAGATAATATTTACAGTAGAGGCTGTGTCTGTGTAACCTCTAACCCCCCTACCCTGTGTTACCTGTAGATAATGTTTACAGTAGAGGCTGTGTCTGTGTAACCTCTAACCCCCCTACCCTGTGTTACCTGTAGATAAAGTTTTCTCCTCTGTTCTGTATAGTACCTGTATTGTGTCAATGCTCATAATTAAGCTTACGTGTTATGATTGTAGATGTGTCCCTGTGTCACATAGCCCCTGTACCCCCATGCTACCTGTCGATTTACGATATATATATGACAGGTATGTCTTCTCCAGGTAAACTAGAAGTAGTTTGCATTGACACCACACCTTTACCTGACAGGTGTAGAGTGTTTGTAGTGAGTCTTAAAGTATAGAGTCTTAGGAATGTTAACATTTCCCCTGTGTCTACTGCACAGAATTTCAATAACAGTTAGGGAAAATCGGGTAAATACGGGCACTTTTCAAATGATGACTACTAATACACGCTCCTTGGTACAGTTAATCAACTTGCTATGTGCGATCTTTAAAAGATATCATCTACAAATATGTTTAGTTAGAATGAAGGTCCCTTTTTAGTGGTGCTTTTGATTGGCCGCTAAAATGAACACTAAAATATAAACCAAAACACTGAATATAGAGAAATCGGTTGTCAAACGGACACGTGTAGGGTAATTACGGACACGTTTCGGGTAACTACGGACACGCTACTATAATCATGCACTCACCCAATAAAACCATACAAACTGGTCACAGGGGTTGCTACATCCTGTCGGCATACAACAAACCGGTCAGTTTGTAATTATAACTTAGCGCCCCGCCCCTGTCACAGACTTTTTGCAACGACTTTCGACTTTGCGATATTGACGGGGAGTCCATAATGTAAGTTTAACAATCTATATAGGTGTAATATTGTGTTCATTCTGATCTAGAATCTAGTTTCCGGACGCCCTTGCAAAGTGCTTGCATGACGACGAATAGTATCATACACGCCATTGCTATTTTAAGACTTTGGGATATTCCGGGTACTGATCGTCAACGAAGACAAACATCCATACCAGTAGATCGAACTATGTCTAGCATGAACGGAGTTTGATTTAATCATATGTAAGGGATTATGCATGATTCATATAAGAACTGTCTGTATTTGCCCGCCCGTCCCTATTTTACCCGGATTTCCCCTAGCGCGTAAACATGCAAGGTAACACAGGGTGTTAGATCAGGCGGTCAGATCCTGTTGTTGGATCTTGAGGGCCAGATCCAGGTTTCCTAAACAAGACACTTTTACAGGTGATAATTGTAGAGACCTTTATCTTTGTCACTATCTGAGGATAAAAATATGAAGTAAGATATCTTTTCAAATATTGGTTAAAATGTATATCATTTGGCTGAGATAGAAAGTTGACAATGTATGATTACCGAGGTGGCCTTAAAGGGTAAATGATTTTATGGTTAATTGGGCCTTTGTAACAGACCTAAACATTTGTTTATTTGATCCCCCCCTCCCCCCATTTTAAAAGTATCATAATTTTAAGATGTTTTATTATTTCATGACTGATGTTCATGTAATATGAAAAATAAAAAAATTGTCCTGAGGGTTTTGTTTCTTGAGAAATTAACTGGTCCACAGACCAAATCACTTGCCCGGTGTCTAAATCAATTATTGTAATTAGGTATTAAAACAGATTTGTTTTGTAAGGTCGTCACAGACAACACTGACTCAGTTGTGTTTTAGGTAGCACTTGATTATAAATGATGTTGTCCTATCCACTTTCATCTCAATGGAGATGTCTTTTATCAAACATGTCAATTTCACCTGATAGCAGAGTTGTGTAACCACCATATCCCTCCCCCAATACATCAGACATTCCGGTGGGCAGGGGAGATTACCCTGATCGTACACCTAGCCTGTTGATATGTAGGTAGTTACGACAGGTAAGATATAACAGTAACGAGAGGTAGGCAGGTAATTACAGGTAGGAGCGACCCCGATAACTGGGTTACAACAATATACCCGATAGATATATACCTAAACATACCAATACATACTTAGGTTGTATTTGAGTTGTATTTGATGTCGGTGAGGTGTATCAGTGGATCAGGAATTCTGTCAGACGGTCGGGGTAGTTGTACAGCCTGTGTAGCCCGTACAGTAGATTCTGTACCAGAAATCCATAAATAGTATCAAAGTTATGTATGTCTGGCTTAAAACTAGGGCTATGGGGATTCTAGAGGCTGCACATCTAAAGATAAGCTGAAATTAAACTGATTTAAATTTCATTTTTAATGAGGTAGAAAAGTAGTTTCAAGTCCAGAAACAGCTGTAGATTTGCTTTCCTATGGGGTGTATAGTTTCCTTTATGAATCATATATCAGGTGTTCCTCTGCTACCTGTCACCCCTAAATTATCCTAATGGAATCTGTGGTCCATTGTAACAGAACAATCTAATGTCATCTAAGGGGAAACAACAGAGAATTTTAATAAATTATTCCGTGACATTAAGCATAACAAAAACCTGTTTTTAAAACCATACAAATCTGAATTATGTTTTACAAGCCTGTTTCGTGTTGAGGTGATTTGTGAGTTGGGAAATCTCTGATAAGATATTAATGAAATATCAACCCCAGCAGTGTATTAGGTTCGTATTTCAAAGGAGATTAATGGCATCTTAGTTTTCTAGGTCTACTTAAAACTAAGGTAGAATACATATTAGCATACTTAATATAATTAATTACATGTAACAGAATTATTTCTTTATATTTCTCCTACTGAAATACATTTAGGAACCATTGCATAGTGTAAGAGGAAACTATAAGTGTTGTTCCTAGCACCTTTTATGGCAATACCTCACTGTAGGCGTTAGTGTTAAATGTCCGTCCAAGTGAGGAAGGCAGTGGGTTATGTCCCCTTGATGAGTGGAATACTGTGTTAGGTGCCTTCAGCATGAGATTATAGTGAGGTAGCACTTAAAAGTCGGCATAAGATCCACGCTATCACAAGGCAGGAAATACACCAACATACCATCTCCAGCACAGATGCACGCATACATTACACACATGGAGGCACATCTTTAATTGATGTTAGCTTTAATAAGACACTTAACTCAATCAAACTAAAACCAAACTAGAAAAATGTGCTTAACATTATTTTACATTGTGGAGTCCAGGCATCGATATCTATAAATGCCCTGTGTTCATGTAGAAGACTGTCAGAGCTGACTAAATGTCTCAATTAAAGGTTTTTACAGACTAAAAGATACAACATTTCATAAACTTTATTGAATTCATCGGTATATATTGCATTATTAAAGATGCCCTGATGTCTTCTTTCATTAGTTTACCCTAAACAAGGTTAGTCCCTAGGTGTATGTATCTTACCCTAAACAAGGTTAGTCCCTAGGTTTATGTATTTTACCCTAAACACAAGTTAGACAGGGACCTGTGATCTTGTACTGTAACACGATGGACCAAGATTATGGTCACATGCACTGCCAAAATTGTATTAAGGTAAATTTTGAGCTTATTTGTCCAAAAAAATTAATCCATTCTAATGTTTTCTGTTACAGGCACGATCGGAAACTGAGGTCCAGTCTGAGAAAGCATGGCTGGAGGCCGAGAAAGTTTGGCTCGTCCACAAGGGGGGTTTTGCATCAGCCTGTGTCCTCCGTGCCAATGGCATGTCCCCTCTTCCGGAGGGGCGTGTCCGCATCAAACTGGACCATGGTGGCGACATCCTCGAGGTGGACGAGGATGATGTTGAAAAGGTAGGTACAGGGAAAATCCTTTATATTGCTAATGACATTTCCCTTTTTCCTGTACACCTTGTTATCCTCCGCTTTCACCGAAACGGGGGATATTAATATTGGTCGGTCTGTCCGTCCATCCATCTGTCTGTCACGCTTCGTTTTCGTGCAATAACTACAACAAATATTAACCGATTTTCTTCAAACTTGGTCACAGGGTTAAATGACTTAAGGACTCGGCCAAGATCGATGACCACTTTCAGCAGACCCCATTTGGCGGAGTTATGGCCCCTTGAATAATAAAAAACATCATTATCTGCCGCGCTTCATTTCCGTGCAATAACTACAACAAATGTTAACCGATTTTTTTTAAACTTGGTCACAGGGTTAAATGCCTAAATGGCTCGGCTAAGTTCAATGATCACTTCCAGCAACCCCATTTTGCGGAGTTATGGCCCCTTGAATAATGAAACGTCATTATCTGGCGCGTTTTGTTTCAGTGCAATTACTACAACAAATATTAACCGATTTTCTTCAAACTTGGTCACAGGGTTAAATGACTTAAGGACTCGGCCAAGATCGATGACCACTTTCAGCAGACCCCATTTGGCGGAGTTATGGCCCCTTGAATAATAAAAAACATCATTATCTGCCACGCTTCGTTTCCTTGCAATAACTACAACAAATGTTAACCGATTTTTTTAAAACTTGGTCACAGGGTTAAATGCCTAAAGGGCTCGGCCAAGTTCGATGATCACTTCCAGCGAACCCCATTTTGCGGAGTTATGGCCCCTTGAATAATGAAACGTCATTATCTGGCGCGTTTTGTTTCAGTGCAATAACTACAACAAATGTTAACTGATTTTCTTCATACTTGGTCACAGGATTAAATGCCTTAAGGGCTCGGCCAAGTTTGATGACCACTTTCAGGGGACCCCATTTGGCGGAGTTATGGCCCTTGAATAACGAAAAACGTAATTGTCTGCTTGGTTTTCTTTCTATGCACTAACTATAACAAATGTTAACCGATTTTCTTCAAACTTGGTTCGATTTTGATGAAAATTAGTATTTAGGAATATTAGGGGACTGCAAAAACAACCGCATCAGCTTCGTTGCCATAGCTACCACATGGAGGCTTCTGATGTTTCGTTGCCATAGCAACAACAGAAAGGCTTCTGATTGGTGGAAATTAAGATATTGTTTGATTTTGATGAAAATTGGTATCTTGGGGTATAAGGGGCCTGCAAATTCAACCGCATAGGTTTCGTTGCCATAGCAACCACACTGAGGCTTATGATTGGTCGAAATTTAGATATTGTTCAATTTTAATGAAAATTGGTATATAGAGATATTAGGCGACTGCGAATTCAACCGCATAGGTTTTGTTGCCATAGCAACCATATAGCAACCACAAGAAGGCTTCCGATTGGTGGAAATTCAGATAGTTCGATTTTGATGAAAATCGTTATAGAGGGGTATAAGGGGATTGCAAATTCAACCGCATAAGTTTCATTACCATAGCAACCACACAGAGGCTTCTGATTGGTCGCAATTTAGATATTGTTTGATTTCGATGAAATTTGGTTTATAGGAGTATTTGGGGACTGCAGATTCAATTGCATACGTTCCGTTGCCATAGCAACTACACAGAGGATTCTGACTGGTTGCAATTTAGAAATTGCTCAATTTCACTCAAATTAAGTATGTACATTGTAGGTGTACTATGGCAATGCGATCCTTTTCTGATGCATCTTTGCGATTATGGGAGCAGTCTGGCAGACATCTGTAACGGTCTCCCATTACAATTAGTACTTGTTACTGTAGATATTGTTAAGATGTTTCAACCAAATTCCTTATGCACATCCAACTCATGCTAAGTTTGCCAACTGATGTGATTTGTGCATATTTACGGATAATCAATGAGGTATATGACTTTTTTTTCTTCAAGTATCAAGCTATACATTATGTCTCAACAGCACGATACTCACATGTTTAAACCTAACCTCAATAATGTTAACCTACAATATGTTCTGCAAGCAGGGGATATAAATTCCACAAATTTGCTTGTTTATACTTTGGTTGGGGAGGGGGGGAGGGGGGGGGGCAGAGCTATTCATTAGAAAAAGGAAAGTATGGGTATAGTACAGTGATTTACAGGAACATCTCAATAATATACATTGTACCAGGTAAATAATACACTAACTACATATATATGAAAGCATAGATGCGAGTATTTTTAGGTTCAGGGTAGACTATATACACATACTCTTATGCAGTGTAAAGATAAGTCACAAAATTGATAAATTGTAACCTGTATAGTCTACTGTATGTGTACCATATCTGCCTGTATAGTATATTGTATATGTGAGTGTCATTGTAATTATTTTTGTACCTGTCTACCAAATGTCAGATTGATGGACTGGACAGTATTACAGAGTGGTCGGTTGTTCCCTGATTCGCAGACAAACTTGACCCCCATGGCACTAGTCTATACCTTATGTATGTCCATCAATAGACACCTGTATCAATCAGTTTATCAATATTATTGACACTGAAGGTCATCTCTGGTTTACCAAGAAATGAAGGTTGTCCCTGATTTACCAGGAAAGGCTACATAGTTGACATCATGAACGAACTTTGCATGGGATGAAATGAAAGTTTGTCTAGCTAATGAACTCTAGTTTTTTAAGTTCAGGAATTATTTTATTAAAATGACAAAAATAGTCCTCCTTTTCCTGAACCTGAATGCTAATAATTCATGCAGTCATAGACCTTTATTTATGTTCATGTATATTGATGTGTCCTCGACCGTTTCAGGCGAACCCTCCACAGTTTGACCAGCTGAATGTATATTGATGTGTCCTTGACCGTTTCAGGCGAACCCTCCACAGTTTGACCGAGCTGAGGACCTAGCATCATTACGATACCTGAATGAGTCCAGCGCCCTGCACTCCTTCCGTCAGAGGTATGGAGGGAACCTCATCCACACATACGCAGGGAAGTGTATGATCGTGGTGAACCCCATGCATCCGATGGCCATCTACTCGGAGAAGGTGAGTGGGAAATTCCTGTTTATCCAACAATCCTCATCTTGTCTGTGGAAACATAAAACAAACCTCTGGTAAACTGGCTGTATGTTCTCCTTGATCAGTGAACTGTTTACAGCTATAAATATTTGGTGTTTTGTAAGCGTACAGTAGATGTAATATGATGTAATCAAGTTTTGAAAACCAAGTGGAAGGGCATACTGAAGGTCACCAGTAAAATAAAGCCAAAAAGAGGACATAATAGCAAAAGTTTCTGTCATGAATTTCATATCTGTAAATATGATATTTAACAATGGTAATAACAATTTTCCATGGTTGAATTTCAGAATTCATGCGTTTTCATTCTGTTAACAGGTGATACAGGTATTCCGCGGGTGTAAACAAGAAGACATGCCTCCCCACATCTACGCCACCGGACAGATCGCTTACCGCGAGATGCTGAACTCTCGTAACGATCAGTCGATAGTGTTCATGGGGCGTAGTGGTAGCGGTAAAACTACTAACGAGCGACACGTTCTCCACTACCTGGTGGCCTCTGCTGGGAGTGTCAACAACATTCTAACAGGTAGGTATTATGGAGAGCAAGGGGGAGATAACTCAACATCCTCTGTTCTTGGTGTTTTCAGACTCGTATTAAAGAAGATAGGGGGAGATAACTCGACATGTACTTCAGTAATTTTCTATTATGTAGGTGATACAGAAAGTCCCGATAAATAACTAAAAATGGAGTGCACAGAGAGTTGGTTCAAACATCGTAACAATTAGGTTAAGAGAGGGAGGGGGGGAGATAACTCTGCAGGTACTGCATTTTATGGTTACCGCCAGACATGTCAGTAACATTATAATGAGTAAGTGTTACAAAAGGTAGGATTTAATTACCTGTAACCTCATCACAGGTAGATTTTGTGGGAGGGTAGGCTAAGAAAGGAATGATAGGCTCATTGTAAACTAGTTTGAAATGTCTGCAATCCATTTCTTCCTGATATCTGTAGATATAGTAAACTTATGATTAATGTTTTCTATTTTCCAGTGGATAAATTACATGCCGTGTCCACTCTGCTGGAGGCCTTTGGTAACAGTAGAACTATACTTAACACAAATGCCAGTCGATATTCCCAGCTGACCACACTAGACTTTGACCATTCCGGACAGATCACCTCAGGTTCTGTACAGGTCAGTGCAAAGAAACATTACATATATGTAAGATGGAGGGG